TATAAGTTTATTTAGGTTTTAATTCTAGGTCCCTCGCTGAAAGACCAAAAAAAAAAAAAAAAAAAAAAAGTCAAAACAATTCAGAGGCATTGGTTCCATATATTTGCTTTAACAACGCACGTCTCTCCTGGCTAGGTAAAGAAAAATAAATAATTCTTCAAGCGTTAGAGTATAAAACAATTCCTTGAAGCATATGTTACCCAGTAGCAGCCAGCAGTGAACTATTGCTTGCAGAAATATAGCCACCTAAGTATTTCCAGACAACAAGAACACAATCCAAACTGCCTTTGAGCAGCAATACTTGTAAAGTTTTGAGCAGTTTGATCTGTTACCCACTCAAAATCTCCATGCCTTGACAGTCAAACTAGAAGCATCAAATATTAGAGGCCAGGTGGATTTCATTTCTATGTGTTTATGAATTATGGAGAAGCTGGAGGAGGAAGGGCTGCTCCTGTGTGACAGGTGGTCCTGCCTGAAAACCAGAGAGATCTCAGCTAAACTCTAGGGCTCTCCTTAGGTGACAAGGGCCCCTCTCATCCTTCTTCACTTGAAGACCCTGTTATCAGTTCAGCAGCCTGAGTGACTTTATATTTTTGTGTTCTGTTCAGAATTTTATTTTGCAAATGTGCTCCCTGGATTTCTACTCCTTGGATTCCTGGCATAATGCATTGCATATTATTATGTTGGACAATATAACAATCTCTATGATCCACATGTAGCATATTTTAAAAGTGATATGAGGCTAGTGGATATCACAGCAAAATTCAGACTTTCCAAACAAGTATATGTAACTGGGCGAGTTTTAAAGCTGTGTCTCTCAACCTCTAATGTGTATGTGAATCAAGCAGAGAATCTTGTACCAATGCAGATTGAGAGATCGGGGCAGGGACTGGGATGCTGCATTTCGAATACGTTCTCGGGTAACACCATTCCTTCTGGTCCATGAGCCACACTTTGTGTAGCAACATCTTAGAGGATGAGGTGTTTATGTTGTTCTGGAATCTGTTAGACCCAACAGCTCTTTGTCTTTCTTCCTCTAGTAACTCAGTGAAGTTTTCCAAACTGTTGTCAATAGTTCTCAGTACCTGGTTCACAGCTGCAGGATTCATTCACCTGGTAAGCATCTCATCACAATTCCTAGTGGTGTCTGTTGTTACCAGCATCCGTTTTTTGAAAAATGGAAGGGAACCTGCTGAGCCCCTGTCTCCACCACTGTAAGCCAGTTAGAGGTGTGTCTTTCTACTTCCCATTTTCAGGTTTTCTTTACCCTCATATTCTCACAAATATGCATATCCTACAATCAAGGTGTCTCTGTTTCCTCTTTCAACTTTCAAAACCTACTCTTAGGGAAAGACCCAGTAAGCTCCAAAAGTATCAGCAATAAGTAAAATGTATCACTGTATCTTCATAAGAGTTCTAGCATTAAAAAAAATTAAAAAGTGAAGGAAATGAAGCCAGTTACAGGATTTCAGACTTATAAATGCTGGAGACATATGAGGGAGGAGTTACTATTGCAAAGGGGAGTTTGGGGGCTTTTTTGATCCTTCTGAAATCAATCTGTAAACCTAACTGCCTCCTTTGCCTATAGGAAAGGCTGGTTCTTATCCCACGTAATAAGAAATCTAGGAAATGGATCTCAACCATAGGAAAGGAACTCCTGGACCTTACTTTTTGAGGACAGTTGAGGAGCAGTCATTAGCAAATACAGAAATTGATGGGAAATGTTAAAAGCCTGCAAAAGCCTTTGAGATAAACAAAACAGAATTCATAACAGGTCTTTTTTATCTGAGCCCTTCTCTCAAAATTAATGTAAGACAATAACAATTTAAAAATACATTAAAAAGTTACCATTGTTCGATTCAACAAGAAAAATGTCAAATGCAAACAAGGATATGAACCTTCAAGAAATCTGAAGCTCTCTACGTCCTCCGCAGCACTCAGGAAGGAAAGAGATTGTCCTGAAGTGTCACAGCAGTAAAGGCTGATTCCTGGATTTAGAGAATTGAACCTTCGAGTCCTGGACCCACCAGGGGACAAGTAGACATTAGTGTCCCTTTAGAAACCTCGTGGCCACCACAGGATGCTAAAGGAAAAGTCATTAGGGCTTTTTTCTTTTTCCTTTAATAGCTGTTTCAATGAGAAGCTCGAAGCCTAAATGTGGCCTACAAGCATATTATTATATTTGACCTAATTATGTTTCAATTTTTTGTTTGCTGTTTTTTGTCACTTGCTGACTTTTATGAAGAGCTCAGATAAAAATCAGAATTTCTGAATTCTTCAGGAAAATATAAGGTTCTAATAATCCCACTCTCCCAAGGCCACCAACAGCTATAGCTGAAGAATAGCTTCATATCACAAGGTCAAGAGATCGAGACCATCCTGGCCAACATAGTGAAACCCCATCTCTACTAAAAATACAAAAATTAGCCAGGCGTGGTGGCATGCGTCTATAGTTCCAGCTACTCAGGAGGTAGAGGCAGGAGAATTGATTGAACCCAGTAGGCACAGGTTGCAGTGAGCCGAGATCGTGCCACTGCACTCCAGCCTGGCAGCAGAGCGAGACTCCATCAAAAAAAAAAAAAATCTTCTCCCTATGTACAGCAGGTGCTCTTGGGTTTAACACAGTCTCTGCCAGGCCTACTTGAATCATTGTAGTTTTGCTCCACTTCTCTAAGGATGTGAGCTTGTTTTCCTGCTGGACATCTGGTCTCCCAGGAAAGGAGACCTCCAGCAAGGAAGTAAGCACAGAAAAAAGGAGAAGCAATCAGATGACATGTGAATTAAATGGTGCCACTTTGAGCCATACCAATTTCTAGAACATTAAAAACCTAGAAGAACTATATCCCAGAGCAAAGAGGATAGCAGATTTTATTGAGGGGATATTTGAAATGACAAGCCAAAATAAAAGCTATGGTTATCCTAACTCACCATCTTCCCATTCTCATACTATCCTTCAGCTGAAAGATGATATCATTCAAAGATTAATATTAACTAGAAATGAATCAATATGGCACCTGTGCCTAAATTCTGCTAAAAACAACAAGAAGGTGTATTGGAAAGCGAGAGAAACATTAGCATAATAGAAGTTACAAAATAAAACAGTTATGAGAGCAACAATTAAGATAATTTGCCCAAGGGAACAAAGGAAAAGTTAAGGAAAAAAGCCCTTTATATTTAAAAAAATAAATAATTTTTTTAGAAAAACTGAAAATGATCCTTCACAGAATATTTATACGGTTTTAACTGAGGGATTATTAAACAATAGAAGTAATTGAAAGTGGGCTAAAAGACATCAGAGAAAAATAACAAGAAGAGTATTAGAGCTAAAAACCACATTAGAGGGAACCAAAATGTAATACATTTGACAAAATCACATTCAGAAACATGATGGACAGGACTGGAGCAAAAATCTTGACATGGAAAATAACAAAGATACTCAAATGGTTGTAAAAAAGAAACGTGAAAGTGGGACAATATTGATTTAACCTACTGTAAATATCATTAGGGTATTACAGAAAATAATAAATGGTGCCAGAAAAGTGTTTTAAAATAAGGTGTTGAATCTGAAGATTAAAGGATAGACTGTATTCCAGGAAAGATAATTCTAAGATATTAATTCTAATCATATATTGGAGCAGTTACAGACATTCAGGGATAAAAAGATAATCCAAGCAGAACAAAACAAGATTTATACAGGGGGGAACCAATGAGACTAGCTTCAGGTTTCTTGGCAATATAGATCAATACCAGAAGATGATACAGCAGTGTCTATAAAGTTTGCATAAAAGAAAGTGTAACCTGTCTTGTCATTTTAAGCATGCAAGGGGTAACGCACCAGTGAGCTTCTTTTGAATCTGTACTAATAGCTTAATGATAAAATTCAGCCACATAGGAGATTAATGAAAAGAGAATTCAAGAATGGGGAAGCCATGGTAAGAAGTAGTGGTAGTGGCTGGGCACGGTGGCTCACGGTTTTAATCTCAGCCCTTTGGGAGGCCACGGCAGGCACATCATTGGAGGTCAGGGGTTCGAGACCAGCTTGGCCAACATGGTGAAACCTCGTCTCTACTAAAAATACAAAAATTAGTTGGGTATGATGGCAGGTGCCTATAATCCCAGCTACTTGGGAGGCTGAGGCAAGTGCATCACTGGGGGGCAGGAGTTCGAGACCAGCCTGGCTAATGAAGCCTCGTCTCTACTAAAAATACAAAAAAATTAGCTGTGCATGGTGGCATGCACATGTAATCCCAGCTACTCGAGAGACTGAGGCAGGAGAATCACTTGAATCTGAGAGATGGAGGTTGCAGTGAGCTGAGATCATGCCACTGCACTCCAGCCTGGGTGACAGAGTGAGAATCCATCTCAAAACAACAACAACAACAAAAAAACCATGATATTTTGGTCAGGCCCCTTGGCTCATGCCTATAATCCCAGCGCTTTGGGAGGCCAAGGAGGGGCGGATCACCTGAGGTTGGGAGTTCAAGACCAGCCTGGCCAACATGGGAAAACCCTGTCTCTACTAAAAATAGATAAATTAATCAGGTGTGGTGGCAGGCACCTGTATCCTAGCTACTTGGGAGGCTGAGGCAAGAGAATTGCTTGAGCCCAGGAAGTGGAGGTTGCAGTGAGCTGAGATCATGCCACTGCACTCCAGCCTGAGTGACAGAGCAAGACTTCTCTCAAAAACAAAACAAAAAAGTAGTGGTAGTGATTACTGAACGGATATAAAATAGAGCTAAGACATAATCAAGGTAATTATCACTACAAAATAGAATGTAGATGCACAAAGTAAAAGTAATATAGCTAATATAAATGTTGATGGGCAGGTAAGAGAAGATGAGAGAATGTCCTCATATTCTTCTTCCTAGTGTGTCTCATCTAAAGTTGAAACGGAGTTTAAAATAATAAGAATTCAGTTTTGAAATATGCGGTTAAAGTAGATAATGATTCAGTCTGTTAACATTAGTCCGTAATACTTTACCTTAACTGTATTTCCCACCTTGGACTGATGGGTCAATGCTAACATGGTTAAGAGGAAGAACAATGTGAATAAGTAGACCCACAGAAGGCTGCCAACTCCCTTCTTCCATAAACTAGAGAGATACTGAGGAAGTGGAAAGGGATTTGAAACACCAAATTATTACTCCCAGGGACAATGAGTTAAACTTCAAAGCCTTCTTTAAAAAATTGTAAAGGGTACTTCCAGATTAAAATAAATTTAGTTTTACTTTGTACGTATTGTGCAGGGATAATATTGAATCCCTGTACTACGAGTTGTAAGAGACACTATGGGATTTTAGCTTAAAGGGAACTGTGCCAATAAATATGAATGATTTAAATCTGTGTGACTTAAATTTGGTTTTCTTGTAATGTACGTCTTGGAAAATAGTGAAGACTCCAGAAGTCAGTGACTTTGCAACAGTATCCACTATCAGCCATAAGACTTATGAACAGACATAAAATCCCATTCTTACTTTGGAGTGGAGTATTATAGGGGTCCACACTCTTAACCTATTCATTAAATTTAAGAAAGGGTCAGCACTTGGCACATCACTTTTAAAAAGGGAACAAATATCTGAGCAAACTGCATGGTTTCTAATTTCCATCCTAGTTCTTAAAAACAAAACAAAAAGCCCACTTTCCCCAGTTAGACATCTCTAAGATTTTATCATCTTTTGTGTGAAATAGAAATGGAAACATCTAGAAAATATGTGAGGTGAGGAGAAAAAAAGGTCTAAAAAGAAAAAACAAAAAAATTGTATTATAAACTATATATGTATAAATGTATGTTATATATAATATGTTACATAATATTTTACACATATTTATAATAAATTTATATATGATATAAATGTCTAAGTTACTTCATTTATCTAATAT